GTCTAAGGCGTGTGCGCTTGGGAGTGCCCAAAGCATAGATTCGAATCCTCCTTACAGCTCCTACTGATTTTCTCATTTTGTTCTTCAATTAATACAATACTGAACCAGGTAATATACATATATCTTGGGTTTCGCATGTTGCAAGCTGTTGCGTTTTGCACAGCGAGTTTTATCTTGATTTTTGTGCAACCAGTAGTCGCAGTTTAATTGTTTTAATGCTTATTAGTACTTGTATTCAGATCCCTTAGAGTTAACGGTTATTTATTTAACCCGTCCCGCCAGTCAGCGGATGCGACGCTGCATGTCTTAAACTTCAAAAACCAACGTCCTTAGTTAAGGCAGCCAGTATGGAAACTACGTATTCGTTCTGGTTAATAACTATTATTGGAATAATATAAAAGGTTGGCTATTTAGTCTACACTTGCTAATCTTCAACATAGAAGATTGTCGTTAGTTTTGGAACGTCAGTAAGAGCCGATCTGGCAACACCGTGCCTATGGAGCTGGCGAGGGGACATTTCAAATCCAGACGAGATGTGGACAGCACGAGAGGCGGGCGTGTTGGTTGACGGCTACTGAAATCCGGTTAAGTAGGCATACATTTATTTTCAGTTAGTGTTAATATGTCAGACAGTGACACCACGCGTGCATAACTGAGTAGGTAGTGATAGTTTGAGATGATCCTTAGTGAGCTAATATCTATCACCGCACACCATCACCCCCCCCCCACACACCATCTGCCCAACAATCACTCCTTCACACCATCTGTCCGTCGTTTCTAATAAATCTAAATAAGTATTCTTTCAAGACAATCTATGTTAAACTGATACTGGAATAGGTACAGAGGTTTCCAACAATATTTGTGTCAAGAGTTAATAAGAGGGTTAAGCTACGAGGATAGCTTAGGTGAACAAAATCTCACAACCCTAGAGAAGAGAAGAAACAGAGGATATGATCACAACATTCAAAATACTGAGGAAAATAGACAGGGTGGACAAGGACAGCCTCTTTAAAATGAAAGAAAGTAGGACAAGAGGACTGTTAGAAGCTGAAAACAAATTATTTGTAAAAATGTAAAGATATATATACTGTTATCATGTACGGCTGGTTAACAAGTGAAATGCACCAAAAGACAAAGTTGTGGAAGCCACCTCCATCCACAACTTTAATACCAGATTCGACGTAGATTATGTCAGATTAAACCTCTACCACGAACGCGTCCAACCCCAGCACAAGTTCTATGACAAAGGCAAATATACTGACTAACGTTAGTTTTTAATAACCGCGTAATGACTTATGCGATGGAGGCTCGTACAGCACTTACACATGTAAGTAAGTAATTATCAATAGAAGTCACCAAACCGGGAAACTTACACATGTAACTTTTGTCTCAAAACACCAGCATTGGTTTCTATTCGGAAATCCTCGGGTAGGTTAGGTTCGGACAATTTAGTAAAACACTCTAGTTACGTTGGTGACGCTCGCAAGATCGGGATGTTACTCGATGCATAATTTTAATTGTAAATATGATTAGGAAAAAGAGAATCAAGTCATAAACTACACAAAGATTTCAAGGCGGGGTTTAAAAGTAAATGCTTGACCCTGCAAATGTACCTGGTGGTAATCTCACTCACTCTCTCTCTCTCTCTCTCTCTCTCTCTCTCTCTCTCTCTCTCACACACACACACACACACACACACACACAAGAATAGCCTTTAGAAACCTAGGAAAGGCAGCCTTTTGAAAATGTACTTGGCATATTTGGGACCCATCCTGATGAATGCCGTCAGTGTGGAACCACTACCTGAAGAAAAATAAGGCGATTCTTGAAAAAGTTCCGCGTTATATACAACAAGGCTTGTACCACATAAAGGTGCCCGGATTCACGGAGACATGTTAACGACATAAAAGATTAGCAGGGAGAAATGATACGATCGATAAAGAGGACGTTTAAAATTGTTTGGTAAAATGATTATCGAGTAAATGGAATGGATTAGAGTATGGATTCTTAACCGGGGGTATGGTTACTAAATAATGGGACTCCATTTCTGAGCAATTAAAAAAATTGATTGTCAGAGTAAAATTAGATATCCTTGTTATATATACGGATTAAGGCGGTTCCACGTTTTGATTGGATAAAAATTGGGCCTGGTGGTCTATTAGGTACCAATATGACCTATATGATACCAGTATGATTCCGAAACTGTGTGAAAGGTGTCTACGGGGACATACTGGGCATTTGGTAATCGTAAAAATGATATCAACTCTTGTACTAAAGGGAGGGATAATAACACCTACCGTGATGTAACAAATTGTTAAAAAAACAGGCATAACAAGTAACAGGAAGATCGGGAGTCACTGACAGGACAATGTCAGTGACATTGACATGTCACTGGGAATGAGTCAGAGCTCAGGAACTGGTGCTCTACCACAGAGACAGACAGAGAAAGATGGTGGGGGGGGGGGCATACCGTGCTTACACAACAAGGAAGGCAGCAAGTGTGTCAACATCTGGACTCCAGCTCTTAAAATGCTCTGTCAACAGTCACTTCTGTCCACACAGCTGTCCCTCCCCCAACACACTGTCCACAGTTGTTCACCCACCAACCATTCGCCTATTCCTGCCATCCCAGTCGATGCTTCAAACACTGCGATATCTACTTATCTCTGCATCTACTGGAAAACAATAGTCTAGTAGGTAAGGCTGGCTTACCGTCCGTGTGTTTACAATCCTATAGTTCTAACACTCAATAAACACAGAGCTTGAAATCTTCCCACAATTACAACGCGCTTACCCTCTAGCAACCCGTCCTCAGACTAGGCTCGTCGAAACTGCGGCAGACCCCCAAAGACACATTCATTAATTTCAACCAACTGTGTATTCAAAACAGGTTGTTTCTTGTATATAAATTAATATTATGTATTAGAATATGGTGTATAATTAGGCCACGTTATGGTTCTGTTTGCAATTATTTGTAATTGTAGTACGTGGTGTAGCATTTAGAGATGCAATTCAAGCAGGGAATGTGAGTGAAGTACTGTTCGGAAAAAGCTGGAACGTCATCACTTGAGAGTCGTGTGTAATGTGTGTTTCTCTTGTAAACAGGGATTTGGCAGCTGAGCCACCGAGCATTTAGGGATTGTTGATAAGAACGGGCCGCATTCTGGAGCCTGAGACACTGTAAATTTACGTTTCAAGATGCAATAATGACTTTCACAATAAAATATACATAAAGCATCTCCTCGGCCAATAAATATAACATTTCACTATAATCAGACATTTATTAACATGAATAACAATTTCAACGAAAAAATAGGTATTAATAACATATTAGTAGCCTATTCCTTACTCAAGCCATCTACTCTTTCTGGGCCAAAAAATCACCGAACGCCCGGGGCTCTAACTCTTTCACCTCCCCCCCCCTCCTTTTATATACCTAAAGTAACTAAGGGCTGGTTCTTCCTAACCACCCTGAAGCATTCACCCCAACCCCGTAATTGCTGCAGAACATCACCGTCACTCACTCTGCGGGTCGACCTGTGGTCGCCTGGGACACTACCCTGGTCCCTCACTGTTTTTTCAATGGTTCCCTGTCGCTACTGGTCCTCACCATCGGTACGTGCAGACGATAACGCCAGTGTGTGTGTGTGTGTGACTCGTGACTACTCACTCGGCGATTGGCGAGTTGTGCGGATCTCTTCACATAGTAACATCCTCTGGCGCACCAGCTCTGCACTCTTCCAGAGTGCAGAGCTGAAAGAGTGAGACTGGCCTCACTGGTGAGACGTGAGAGACTGGCCACAGTGGGGTCAGTCTTACGATCGCTGCGATTTGCCACGCTCTCTGCATTCTTTTGCATTAATCCAGTAGAATCCGTTTCCAAAAGAGGTCAGCTCTAGGGCCCCCCCAGTCATGTTGGGTAACAGTCATTACTTTTTTTTCTAATTTTTCTGATATCTACCCAATCAAGAGTGGACGCCAGGGACAGAATGTGCGTTTGGATTTTGGGGGCGAAGTGACCTGAACCGTCTCAGCTCACCAACGTCTTCGCGGTGTGACGTCACCGTCTTGCACGGCGCTGATTGGTCCACACCGATTGGGCTTTCAGATCTTGAATTCGCAAGCACATTGTCTTTCAGGAATTCCCCACATATAATCCAGGAGGAGGTACCGCTGTTCCTGACTCCTCCTCACCACTCAGTTTCCTCAATAACACTTTGCACATATTAATTTATACGTTACCTACACTTCTTCGTCTTTTCAACACATAGACATGAACGAATACACACAAATATGGAGGGCAAATGATGAGAACAACCATCATCTGAAGGCAGCCTCGACTAGGCTACTTATATTAGTGACAGAACACAGGGGAGGGCTGTGTGCATTCAACGTGGGGGCTGTGTGTACACAACGGAGGGCTGTGTACACAATGGTGGGGGGAGGGGTCTGTGCATACACAACAGGGGGCTGGGAGAAAGCCGAGAGCATGGGAGCAAGGACATGCTATACCTCCAGCAAGGAAGCCTCATCCCTTGTGCCAATACCAACAAGATCTTTGGTCAGGATAAGGCCAGGTCGAAGCATTGTCTCCGAGGTTCTGTGACCACTGACCACTGACTACCCTCGGCGCAACTCATGCTTCTTGGCAACAATAGCTAGCTCTCTCTCCTCTCTCCCTCTCTCTCTCTCTCTCTCTCTCTCTCTCTCTCTCTCTCTCTCTCTCTCTCTCTCTCTCTCTCTCTCTCTCTCTCTCTCTCTCTCTCTCTCTCTCTCCCAAGTCCCCAAGTCTAGCTGGTTCATTATTATCTCTCACTCTTGTGGGTCCCCTGACATGCTGGTTTAAAAAGTTTCTTGTTCCAACAATAGTTTGTGTTCCAACAAGTTTGAGTTGTTGGAACAATATTTCAAATAATTCCACATCCAACAGTTTCTCTCTCCCTGTATCTGTGCCTCCATGTGGTTTTCTGTTCTTCAAAGTCTTATCTTTTCATGGTTTAAGTCTCACATTACTACAGGCAACAAAAGGTGCCGATATATATATATATATATATATATATATATATATATATATATATATATATATATATATATATATATATATATATATATATATATATATATATATATATATATATATATATATATATATATATATATATATATATATATATATATATATATATATATATATATATATATATATATATATATATATATATATATATATATATATATATATATATATATATATATATATATATATATGTATATATATATATGTATATATATATATGTATATATATATATATATATATATATATATATATATATATATATATGTATATTAATGTCGTACCTATTAGCCAGAACTCACTTCTCAGCCTACTATGCAAGGCCCGATTTACCTAATAAGCCAAGTTTTCCTGAACTAATATATTTTCTCTAATTTTTTTCTTATGAAATGATAAACCTACCCATTTCATTATGTATGAGGTCAATTTTTTTTTACTGGAGTTAAAATTAACGTAGATATATGACCGAACCTAACCAACCCTACCTAACCTAACCCAACCTATCTTTATAGGTTAGGTTAAGTTAGGTAGCCGAAAAAGTTAGGTTAGGTTAGGTTAGGTTAGGTAGTCGAAAAACAATTAATTCATGAAAACTTTACTTATTAGGCAAATCGGGCCTTGCATAGTAGGCTGAGAAGTGAGTTCTGGCTGCTAGGTACGACATTAATACATACATATATATATATATATATATATATATATATATATATATATATATATATATATATATATATATATATATATGTATTACTATCAGCGCCCCGATCACTGTACCCCTGTCAGTGTCGTCCCTATCACTGTATCACAATCACTGCATCACTATTATCATCGTATTATCAAAGGGGCCACAATGGAGACTCCAGTAACTCCAGTAAGCTTCTTATCCACCTCATCCCTGGGCACACAGACCCGGCCCGGGTATATAAGCCCGGGCGGTGTTTCAGGTTCAGTGCCACACAAGCAGTCCACCAAGCACCGTCTCCCCATCTGCTGCCGTCTCCATGCGCTACTCATTCGCTATTTTGGTAACTTTTAGTCCATCGTTTCGTAAATTGAACAACGTCGGTTATATACACCATGAGGTGTATATAGTACTTTGAGAGTATATTTTAGTCTTGGACAATATCCAGAGTAAAGGTGTAATTATTATACTTGCTGTTGCTATCATAATTGCTGGTTGGTCAGTAGGCTACTGTTGTAGCCTTAATAACCCTCCAGTGGTTGATGGGTCTTAAGCCCAATATTTGTAAGGCTAGTTAATATTAGAGGTATCAACGTGTAATTCGGTGTATAGCTGACTGCTTGTATAATTGTTGTGCGGTGACTAATGGTATGATCGATATTTAAGGGGACTCGCGACAACTCGTGCTCAGACCAAGTCCATTCCAATCAGCGGTCGACCCCAAAGACGCATTCATCAACTTTAACATGCTGTTCATTCAAAATAGGAATTTTTTCAAATATATATTAATACTGGTATATATTAGCATACTGTGCATATTTAAGCAGTGGTTAGGTTAGGTGTTTAGGTTCTTTTGGCGATTATTTGTATTTGTAGTATGTGGGTGAAGCATTTTCAGCATTGTGGTTCAAACAAATGTAATCAACTAAGCACTTGTTCCGGAAGTGTTCGGACGTCATCAGTTGTAAGTCGTGTGTATACCGTTTTCATTCATGAACAGAGGGTTTAGCGGGTGCATGGAATGGACTTTGACCTTTGTTTAGGACAGACTGTGCGGGTGTGCGTTCGTTTAATAATTCAGTTTGTAGAGTCGACTCTACAATAATTTGTGGAGTCAAGAGGTAGCACTCTGAGCCCAGATAACGGATATAATTCGGTAACAGAGCTAAGTATATGCTTCTCTGCACATTCCTGCGCATGACTTCTGCTGTGTTGCAATATAATAAGTAGTTTGCTCACAGCTGGTTGGTCTCGGGTTCGATTCGCGATCAGGAAATAGCGTTTGGACCTGCTTCCTGATACTTAATGCCTCTGGTCTAGCATTAAATAGATCAAGAGTTCACCTATTATGGTTGTGGGGTGCATAATAAATGTCCTCACCTGTGTGCACCAGGTGGCTGGGCTGGCCGGGGTGGTGATGGCTCGCTACGCCCCCACCAGGGACCACAACCAGGACTGGCTCTCCCTCATATCCGGCAAGCAGCAGCTCCGTGACGCCCGGATAATCTACACGCTTCTCAAGAACGATCCAGACTTCTACATGAACAAAAGAGGTCGGCCACATTCTCCTTTTGTTCCTTTATAAATAAATTCCTCTTTTCAATAATTCTGGGTGGATATTTCCGCCCATCCTCCTGTTTTGTTAGTACTTATAGTAACGATGAGGACCGTAGTATATATACCGATGTACGACGAAATTAGGAAGAAGAAATCTGAACTATTGAGTTGGACAAACTGGAAAACTATTTTTTGTTGCTTTGATAAACTAAACTAACCTAACCTTCCTAGGCCTAATACACGATATCCGAGGCCTAATATAGTACAGTGCATATATGTGCTATACTAGGCCTAGGAATATTTAAGTTTGTTTTTTAGCTTCATTTATTTTAAAGAATTCCTTACTAGTCAGTATACTAATATCTAAAAGCTAAGTACATACAAATTCGTGACTATTAACGATCATCGTCACAATACCTACTATCTGAACAGGATGGGTTGGGATATTTATATTCACCAAGATTCATTCATGTCTAACATTTCCTTAAAACAATCCAGCGATCCCACGTCCGTTATGTTTCAGTAATTTGTTCCACAAATCAACAAACCCATTTCAGGTCTTTTAAAGTAAATAATCTAATTCGTGTTCATAATACCTATTGTTTTGTGTTCATAATACAAATGTATTCGTTCTCGACTCACAATCAGGAATCCTGGGAAGGTCAGAAATGGTTGGGCAAGTTTCCCTTCTCCTAATGTCTCTGTTCACCCAACAATGAATAGGTACCCGGGTGTATATCTTGAGGTTATCTTGAGATGATTTCGGGGCTTTAGTGTCCCCGCGGCCCGGTCCTCGACCAGGCCTCCACCCCCAGGAAGCAGCCCGTGACAGCTGACCAACACCCAGGTACCTATTTACTCCTAGGTAACAGGGGCATAGGGTGAAAGAAACTTTGCCCATTGTTTCTCGCCGGCGCCTGGGATCGAACCCAGGACCACAGGATCACAAGTCCAGTGTGCTGTCCGCTCGGCCGACCGGCTCCCAGTGTAAGTAAATTTGTTGTGGGATTGCATCCTATTGGACATTGTGCGGGACCTTTAGGTTCCCTGTCCCCGACAAAATGAATCAACACATTAATATCTCCCTTGTTATACGTTTTCATTGTTGACCAAACCACACACTAGAAATTGAAGAGATGACGACGTTTTGGTCCGTCCTGGACCATTATCAAGTCGATTATCACATTTTCATTCATATGAATGATTTAATCACCCCATAATATTTACCTTTCAATAAAATGTAAATAGGACTAGAGATTTGGACAACCTAAGGGAGGTTTCACATTCATGGGATGAACTTTATGTCCATCCACTTGAATTGGTCGGTGGAGAGTGAGCCTCTGTTCTTTGCAGGGTTCGATCCCCCGATGGTTCAAGTGATTCGGTACCGTTCCTTCACTCCGTCCTTACATCCCAGCTCTTTGTCCTAATATTCCTTCCAAGTGTTATAATTGGTATATAGCACTTGATAATTCCCCTAGTTCGACTGAGATTTAACCCAACCATTTTCTGCCAGAAAACCAAGGCTTCGACAGCAGTGAGAAGGATTTCCAAGGCTTTCAGCATCCATTCTACTACCACCAGAAGCAGCAACACGGACCTTCCCGGGAGCCCTTTGTCTTCAGCAGACTAGGAAGCATGGGGCCCTTGGACGCCCAACATAACATGGTCGACATCCCCTTCAGGCACGGACGCCTGGTAGAGGAGGCAACTCTTGGAGCACAAGCACCATCTCATCCCATGAAGGACATTATACCCGGGACTGCATAAAAGCCAGAATGATTCATAGTTTATCTTCCTGTTTACAAGTGGAAATTTTGCCTCTAAATCATTCAATATAAATAATGTTCACAACTTTGTTGTGTTAGGCTTCGACTTGTCATCATCAGCCAGCTTGTGCCTCTGGAGAGGACTTCATTCTTGTCACCCATATATATTGATTCCCAATAAAAGTGTGGGAAAAATACCTCTCTCTCCACCTTCTTGATTAAATAATCATTCAACAGTTTGATTCTCCATCCACCTCCAATACTAAACTATCACACGTTGAATTTGAAGTTGGGTGAAAACTTAACCCTGACGCTCTGTAAACACACTCAGCACTGCAAGGATCATACAAAATTGTAATATTGCTTCATTAGTATGTGTAACTTCTGTCCCCACACAGCCCATCCTTATAAACAAAACTCTAAATCCATTCCATGCACCCACCAAACCTTGTTTATGAATGAAAAACGGTTTACACACGACTCACAACTGATGACGTCTGAACACTTCCGAAACAAGTGCTTCACTGACGACTTGTTCAAACCATAACTATAAATGCTTCACCCATGTACTACAAATAATCGCCAACAGAACCTAAACACCTAACCAAATCAATGCCTAAACATGCACAGTATGCTATTATATGTAACAATATTAATTTATATTTGAGGAAATTCCCATTTTGAATGAACACCATGTTAAAATTGATGAATGCATCTTTTTGGGGTCGACCGCTATATGGAATGGACTTGTTCTGAGGACGGGTTGCGCCACAAGTGTACACTACTCCTATGTAAAAATTTGAATTTGACTGGTAGGGTGCCGAGGTACACAGACTGGCAGCAAACAGCCCAACTGAACAGTAAGAATGCAACTAGCCACGGTCCACACCACACCACCATGGCTGCCCAGCAGCCAACCAGCTACTGTGTTCCCTCTGGACCTAGAGGGCGCCTGGCTCTTGCTTCACCGGGTAGCTACCCTGTGGGTGGCCTGGCCTGCCGTGGGTGTTCAGGCAGCACCTGGTGTTCCTGTCAGTAAGCACTTTACTTTGTTGCCGTTTGGCTGTGTATTTGGGATAGTCTCCCATCGTTTCCATACTGGGACCAGGATCGACAAGGTGGTTCATTGCTCTTAACATCAACAATTTGATGCCCACAAGGTAACTTCATGCAAAATATTCTTTTTAATTATTTTAGGGGGTTATATAATGCATTCTATTTGGCTAGGATTGGTCAAGCTTAAATTTGATTAGGCTCAGTGTTTGGTGGTTAACATGTATACTGCTCCCCAATAAGTTAACAATATATTGTATGCAGTTTTTTGTATTTCCAAATGATTTTGGTCACTGTGACCAAAGGCACCTGTTATAATCAAGATCAAAAGTAAAAATTGAACTGAAGAAAAAAAAAAATTACAATAATTACATGTTGAATTATTGTAATTCAACATGTATATATATATGGATGATACTGGAAGGATAGGATCCAAATTTGTACAGTAAATAAGAACATGGCGAATGACATGGTAGGAAATACAGAATAAACTTGAGTACTTACTATCAATCAACTTTGAGCAGAAGCAACTCTGAAGGCACCAGTAACACTCAGCAAGCCACTCCAGACAACTACAGTTCACCTGTGTTCCACTACTTCACACAAATGCCTGGCATACCAGTTACTACCAAATATTTCCCAACCACTACAAACTCCCCCTCCACCTAGGGTTTAGGATTAGAATTAGAATTATCAGGAAACTTAATAAATAGCAAAGATAATGTCAGCTGATGACACCACCCAACACTATCATTGGCAGGCAGGTGAGACTCATCAGGCTGGTACATTACATTACATAAATTACAGTACATCAGTACTGTAATTCAATTTTTTTGCTGTTACTGGTTTAATTTTCTTGTTTTTCTCCCTTATTCATCATTTTGATTAGCAAGAGAAATTGCTTGCCAACACCCACATGGAGCTCAGGTAAAGGTAACAAACTCTGACATAATAAAGCATTTCAGACTACTGAACTAGCCAATGTTAGTTAATCGTTAACCTTTCTTCAACCTTGATTTCAAAGTATCTCTTACTAATGGGGTGAAGGAACTATGGTCCATGACCACATCAGAGCCAGCAACACTGAAGTAAACTTTTGTTAACTAAAACAATTATTCTAGAAACATGATTTTATTTCCTTACAATTACATCACACAATGACAACTGCATGAAATTAAAATATTTTACCGTTCATTGGTCTGTTACAGCAGTATTCAAAATTATGGCAACACTTATTGCACAACTAGGTAGCTTGGCTCTACATGTCACAATTAGGTAAAACCATGAAAAATTATTATATCACATTCAAGCATAATGGTCCAGATTTTCACTGACATTCCACATTTCAGGAACATATGCAATGGTAGAACATTGTTCACCTTTTGAAAATATTCTTAGAAATAAATATTTAAAAATAACTGTCAGTTTAATTACATCTATCTTAATATTCTTAAACTAATTTGCACAATTTAGAAGAAAATAGCAAAGTAATCTGAAATGTAATTTGATCAACAATTGACTATGTAAAGATCTCTTGCTTTTAAGTAGATAGAAATCATCTAACATCAATACTATGCTGTACAGCAAGAAGTCTTACCCAGTGCTTTAACCCTATATTATCAACGGACCAGTAATCTGGACTGAATTTATACAAACTATGAGTACAGGTATACAGTATAAATCAATGTGATGAGGCTAAGAGAACACAATCTCATTTACAATTAATGAATCAATCTATCCACCCCTCAATACTTCCCTTACTCTCATTTCAATACTTGCAGAGCAGTTAGTTTTAACCAATTGGTTCATACTGTATAACTTCACAAACATATGAAAATGTACAAGAAATGTTTATCAGGCAACCTTGGTATAGCACAAAAATAAACTAAATGCACTTTATTCACTGAAAAAAAAAAAATTAATCCTAGACATTTCCTCTCAAGTGATAATTGTTTTACATGAAATTTACAAAGTAGCTAAAATACCATTAATGAATAATAGAAACAATGTACGGTACAAAATCAATTTATAATAATAAATATGACCAACTTCTTCCCAACAGTAACCCCAACGTAACCTGTGCACGAGGTTACAAAGCTTTGGAACAGAGCAGAGATCTAGTTATTTACAAAATCCACCAACTCTTAACCTTAAAATAAAAAACGGTGTTTAGGTTTACAAGACCCAGGCAGAGCTTGGCCACCTGCACCACCTCTCCACAAGTACTTGTGCAAATTCACTCTTTGCCCAAATAATGCCTACATTGGTCCGTCTTCACACACGTACATTTTTGGGATAATAGTCACAATGGAAATATTTAAACTACCTCCGAGAACTACACTGAAATGATTTCATTAACATGGGTAAAATAATATGGCATCAAGTCTTAAGTAACTGAAAACTTAAGAAATTTTTACTTATAAATGAAGAAACCTTCAATACTTGTTTTGCTTCAATATTAAATTGTAATACGACTAACAAACTTACAGAAGCTAGAACAGTATATGCATCTCATACAAAAAATTTACCCAAAGAGAAAGGAAAACAAAATTAGTTTTAAGTAGGTCAAAATTATACTGCAATTTGATTCATGAGCAGAAAATATTAATTTCAACAAAAGCATTTAAATATTTAAGAAAAAATAGAAAACGTAGGATAAAACTGCATTCTCTACGGTATAAAGCTTTATCTTTTATGAGTGGACAGTCACTCGGTATGAGGGGTTAGTTGGTCTTGGGCCATGACAATTTTTTTTTTTTTTTAATAATCTGTACATAATGAATGTATTGCTGACCCTACATGGCTTCACCTGTTGCAAACAATGCTGTCTTTGCACCATAATCTCGTATATACGTACAAGCTAATATTCCTTCTCATTACTGTACAGTTTGATTGATCTGAAAGGGCATTTCCTCAGGTCTACATGCAATAAAATTATTAAGAGGACATAGCAATAATTATCTTTATATCCATATTGTCAGTTTCATAATAAAGCAAATTTGTCGACAATTAACAGTACAGTAAAGACAGACTCTGAAAGCAGTTAATTGGTATTTAAAAAATACAGATTTCTATGAACGACCAAAAGATATTACTGCACGAAGTCCATGGTGCTTTGACGATGCACTTGGCTAGGTTATTGGACCTAACCTAATTAATAAAGTTTATTTAATGGGCTCCTCTTATCAAGTCGCCAATTCTCTGCAAACACCTAATTAAATCTAAAATTGTGATAAAATTACAGTATAGGTTACTGAAGTCACACGGATTCGGATTTAAGTAAAGCAGGTAATTAATGCTATTGTTTTAGCTTTTCCTTCCCTGCTGTTCATTGGGATCTTTATAGTTCAAGTGTGGTGAAGAAGTGTCATACCCCTACAGCACAAGATTAAAACTTGAATTGCATTAAATTGCTTTACACATACCATTCATGACAAACATTTGCAACTTAGTTTCCATTTTGTGTTCTTACAAATTTGTCTTTCAAACAACATGACCATTCCTGGAAAATAAATTTGCAATGTTAAATCCACTTTCTTCTAACTTCAGTGGCAAAGAAACTTAAGTTTCCATTGTAAAAAAGCCTGATAAGCCTACCTGAGCTATTTTTTTCAGTATGGATGCAACACGATCATTATTGTACACAAAATATCTAATAAAACATGTTAACTATTAAAGTTATCGCTACTCTGATATGAAATTTAACTATATTATAAAAAGGGATAAATCAGAAATATTATAATGAATAAAAGGGTCCCCTTAAAATATTACCTTGAAATAAATTATATTAAAAAAATTAATTATTTGTATGGACTTTATCAAGAAAACTATGACTAATGATAAGACATTATAAACAAATTTCCCAATTATTTATATTACATGTTTTTAGGATATTATAAGAATTACATTTTCTCACCGGTAATAAAAAGAGGGACTACTGTATATCTTACTCTAAAATCATACTGCATTATACAATGCCTCGTTTGTGAAGCACATATGCATACAAATTTTACCTAACAACTGTGGACGGTATTCAAAAAATCATGAGGCACAGAATAATTTGTGTGACATTAGCTTTAAACCTTGTGACATGTGCAACTCGTATTTACCATACATACACAAACTTTGTATCGATGAGAAACTGAAGCATTTCACGAGTATCACTTTTACTTCACTAAAACTTCCTACCCGAGCTTACAAGTATCCTGGTGAATCTGACTTGCTTCATAAAGTATCTAAACAATCTGATTTTGATTAATCTTATATCCCACAGCATTCCTCAAGCACTACATAAACTGATGTCCATTAGCATGCGCATAATAGAATTACTAAATGTGACAGAAAAGCATAATAAACTGAGGAAGAACATGCTGTGTGAACTCATTTTCTTGTAATACACACAAAAAATAAACACAATGAGATCTATTTAAAAACAAATAAAAAAATAATATATATATATCCATTAAATGGCATTTAGCCATAAATACATTAGATATAATAAAACTCCATATGACAGCCACACCAGCTCACACTGTGAATGACGGTCTTAACCTGTGTACACATGTTAACATAAATCCAATGTTAGAGTATAAGAGAATCTCTTATTCTTTGTTGAACATTGCAGTTTAAGAGCTGCCAACATCTAGGACGATTTATAATCACTAAAAATTCAATTGAAATTACCCACATAGGATCAAATTGTAATGACAAAATTTAACAAACAGTTCCTCGTCTGATATCACTGAAAATTCACATACAATATTACTATGTAGAGATTAAGTCAGTAACAAAGAACTGAAAACCATCTACCCAAGAGAATGTAATAAGTTTTGTGGATTTCTGGTTTTATGCAAAAAAAACTAATAAAACTTTAAACAAATTTAAACAGCATCAACTTAATTATTTTCAATTCTTATGTCCTGTGTTGGCTGCATAAAAACTAATCCTTTCCTGCACGAGCACCACCCGCCCTCATATTCCCTCCCCAACCTTGAACACAAACTACAGTATTAATATTGTTAAAGTTGGTCGTGCACAATATATATATATATATATATAAAAAAAAAGGCAAGTGTTGAAGGAAAGATAAATCTTATAATTCATTTATGTCACATCTAGACTCCCTTCAAAATCTGTAACTTAAAACTTGAACATTTAATCTCTTCTCAAACACCAGTACAGGGTCATCTTCATTGTTTCTTCTCCAATTCATTTTAATCAAAATCTTAAAAATATTGTACAGCTGAAATTTATTAAATATACTTAGTCCACACTGAAATGTGTCTTAGATTTTATTATTATTTCTGAACTACATATCCTCCAGACTATAACTAATGCCAGTTACACGCTTTGAATCCAAATTAGACTCAACAGTACTTTAAAAAAAAAAAATCTTTCAAACACCTTTCAAAGTAATCAAGTGATCCACAGCAATCAAAATCTACACGTCATTCAGATCCTGACTATTCTTTTCCGATACTTAACACTATAATATTGTAGAACAGAGGTGGAATTTATAGTTGTGTTAATGATTGTCAAACAAAGGAAAATGGGAAATGAACTAGTGATGTGTACAAAGGTGCTTCATCGTACTGTGATGACTAGAAGTCAAAGCATATAGTGTTAATTTTGAATATGGCTTATAATATCAATATAAAAGACAAACAATATGAGGATAAATTTGAAAGCCCCTAATTCTATGGCTGTTATCACATTGTGTGATGCAGGAAATACAGAGCTCACAGCACAAGACTAAATATCAATGGCATACTTTAATGTAACAAAATGAGACACAAGAGTACAAACGCTGTAAGGTTATGAGATAACTTGAGTCAGAATGTGAGGGGCAAATGTTTGGTTGGAGCAAGACACTCGAGTTCTGCTGCTGTGATGGGGTACATATAGTTGACACGAGCTGGACTCAGGAAACTGAAGAGATACGGTCATCTGGTGCACCCATTTGTGTCAACACTTTATCCAACCACTGCAGGGGTCCATGAAGATGGATCTCAATCCAGCATGGTGTGCTGGTTACATCCTGCCGGTGATATTCAGCCCCCCAGCCTTTCACAAATGACATCCTGTAGTAAAAGAGTAATGAATTAAAAAAAAAATACTTCATGTAGAAAAGTTTTAGCACTGTTTTAGAAAATATTTGAGCTGCAATTCTTGCAAGACATTATAAACCTAGGAATGAAAATCTAGTTCTAGACTGCATTTTGTTACTCAACTTTCAGCCTTAATAAGTACCATCATTAAAAAGTTCATTATTATCACATAATAGTGCTTTGTGCAAGTTCCAGTCAAAGCTGCGAACATTACATTTGCCTCATTTAGGAGATCGGTTAGAAAGTGGACTTTGTTTTGCACGTTTCGATGCCTTGTATGTTGGCGAATAAGAAAGATGTTATTGTATTTGTGGAAGTGCCGAGGAATTTACTTGGTGTTAGTATCTGTGGTTCTAGAAGGAGTGCCACATTGTCTGCATCCTGTCTAGCATTTAACTGAGTTGATGGTAGAGCCTGGACATGTCTTGCCATTTTTTTCTCCTCTTCAGAGGCGTACAGTTAAGGATTGAAGTCTCGTCACTCCTTCTCGGCCAGGATACAAACTCAGGCCAAATCGTTCTCAAAATGCGAGGAGAGTGTCTTACCACTGCACCATGGGGACTGCATTTTAATTTTATTGGCTTGGTTCCTTTGATATGAAATGCTTGGCAATCCCTGTTAAAACATTCCTTCTTGTGTAGTGAATTTTTATAGTTTTCAGTAAAAAAATTTGCAATTTTCATAGCGACACATCTGGGATATCTCTACAGTTTTTCAGGTATTTATATTTACGTGTTCCATTAGCTATTCCTGATATCCCATATTTGCATCAATGCCATGCATAGTATTGGCAGATTCCCGGTTCATGATGTGTTGGTTTATTTGCAGTACTTTGTATTTCCTCTGCTGAAAGATTTAGCTTGAGATCTTTCAAATTCTTGTTGTTGCTCGGTCACTTCCTTCACGAGGAAATACTGTATTACTTTTAATATTACTTTCTAATATTTCTAATATATATTTCTAATATTTTCTCTCTGTCCACTTGTGTACGGGTTAGCTCCATATCCTCCTTGCACTTTCCTATATCCTATGTTACCTCTAATTTTTTCTGACCTTTTTTTTTTTCCCCTTTGAATTTCCTTGTCTAACCTATTGTATTCACTAACATCTGACTTTGGTTTAACTTCAAGAACTATCTTTAATACTCTGTTTTCTTCCTCCAGGATTTTTTCTTTCGTTTCCCAGTGGTTCTTATCTTTGTATAATTCCCTCATTTGACCTTCTGGGGATTGAGAAACTTTGTTTCTAAAGTTTTCATTACTGCTGCTCAAATTCTTAATTTTATCCACATGATTCCTGACAACTTTCTCTAGTTCTGCCAACCTGTCGTGAAGACCACTCCTGCTTATATTTCTCTCATCGAAACCACAAAAATTAATCTCTTCTATTTTGTCCTTCCTCTTGCTGGCGGCAAGGACACACACAGGTAGAAGGAAAGCATCCCACACACTTTGTCCCAAATTGTTAGTTCACGTATTTTTATTGATATTACCTTGTTTTTCAAGTGCATTAGATTGCCAATAATGTTGTTTGTATCACAGAATATGTAAATTGTAGGTATGCACAGATTTATTTGAATAATAAACAGATTTGAATAATAGAACACTTTTTGCTGTTATTACACTACATACACGCTTCATATATACTGTATTTACATATTTATAAACCATAATGAACCACTAACTAATTATCGAGCTTGAATGGTCTAAGTCTAGCAATAGCGCTGCTATTATCAGATTCACCAAATTATACATGAATCTTTTCCACAAGTTCATTTTCTAAAGTAACATGAGGTCATGTTGCATGATGCATAGATGTATGAAACTTTGGCTGTCTGCTGTGAAAACCTGCCTCCTGCTGTGAACATCATTACTAACATTCACTGATATTTAAACCTTGTACAATAGTTTAGTTTTTATTGCATTCAGGATCTTCTGACACATCACAAAATAAATGAAGTTACTGTACTTATTTTATTAATCAGTATTAAGTGGTGGTGTGGCCCTGACCTGCACAGATGTACTGTGAGCTCCTGCTGCATGTGCCAGCCTTGTCTGCCCTGGCAGTACTGAGGCTCTCTCAGCCAGGAGGGGTGCAGATTTTTTTTTTTTTAAATGGTGTGTGTTTACTGAAATCCTGAGGAACAGGAAGTGAGCTCCATGTACTCGCAGGAGCTTTGAATTTTTCCTTATACCTGTACTTACAAATGAGTTTTCTCAGGTGAGCACACCACCCATCAACCAAGATATCCCATTGAGCGCACCACCCATCAACTGAGATATTTCAGCGAGCAAAGTGCAGCTGTTAATTAAAGTTGACTGATTTCTTTGAAATAAAGCTCAAAATGTAGCTAATAGTCAAGACTTTGAAATTACAAAACAAAAAAAATAATAAACTGGTATATACATTGGCCCCTTAAACTCAAGGTTTCAGTACTATACTTCTCTTCTCCAGTTACAATGAACTCACACAATTTATTTCTTTCCACTAAATTACATTTACTGTATTTACATTTTCTTCCATCCTTAACCTTTCACAAATCAATAAAACATTAAACTATACAGCACATCTATTTCTCTGGAAACAATACACAAATTTCCTACCTGATGGTACACATTTTTGTTAGGTCAAACACAGCTTCATAGCCATGGTTGACACTCTGAGAGAGAAGCTGAGCAAACTCCTGATTATTGAAGATCTTAAGTGAGCATCCAGGGGGGATTTTGCAAACCGTAGACGGGTGGAAGCCATGGTGGTGGTTACAGTTACGGGACTGGACGAAAATAGCCGAGTCAGACAAGCATTCCGCATAGACTTCCCCACCAACATAGTATAGGTGGACTCCTGAAAGGCATACATTAGTTATTTTTTTTACTCTAGAGACTACAAATGGTAATTGCTTTGTTTGATCATGAAATTATAGCTGAACACTGGTGATACTAAACCGGTGTTCAGTCTAAAGCACTCTAACCTCATTGTAATACATTTTCCTTAATACACCTTATACTTCTCATAAACTTTAACATCACTGAGTATTTTGCCAATTATCATATTACACATCAAAAATATACAAGGTCATTAGCAAGGTCTTGTATAAAGAAACAGGTCAACAATTTATATTAAGAAGCCAAAATATAACACTAAAGATCTGTTATAATTAATAACACCTTCAATAAAAATTTTAGTATAGTACTAAGGATCACCAACGGGTTAATTCAGTAACTCCAGCAGAAACTTGTCAAGTTCGCTCTTAAATCTTCTTCTGTTGTTCCTGCAACATTTCTTATATTTGGTCGCAGGAGGTTGTAAAAACTGTGGACATCTGGTGTTTATATGTTTCATTAAATTCATTTTTCATTTCAATTCACCCAGTTTCCCTAGCTGTTGCTGTAGTTACATTGTTGTGGTCTCTAAATATTGTATCTTCTAACATTCCCATCATTCCAAGATCTTTACTTGGTCACTCCTTTCTATGAGGAAATCTTGAATTTAAATTTTTGCCATACTGATGAACTATACGTAATGGTAATTTGAACATATGAACATCATATTTTTTCTGTTGCCTTTTGAAAGAGCTTATTTATATCCAATTGCAGATATTCTGCCTCTTCCACTGTTGCCATTTTCGTTCTTATTTTGGTGTTGTTCATGAAGCTGTATGTTGTATTCCTGGTTGTCATCTATGAGGATAAGGAGGAGAAACTGTGCTAGGACTGTACCTTATAGGACAAAGCTACAAATACTCAAGCTGGATTCTGTTTGATTTACTGCCACTCTTTGCATTCTGGTAAAAAATTTAAATTCCACTTTGGTACCTCACCTGTTATCACCTTATCTTTCATTTTATGGTCACATTTATTTAATACTACATATTGCAAAATCTGTCTATGCAAAACAATGTGACATTTGCATTTGCTTCTAATGCATCTGTAATTTTGTTGTAAAAGAAATACAAAAAGACAAGATCCTTCTGCTCTAAAACCATGCTGACCTGGATTCCATGGCTTATTATTTACACTCTACACTATATATACACTAAGTTCCAAGATGCAGGTTGTTCTTAAAGTTGAGGATGGAATTAATTGGCTTCAACAACCTTCTCTTATAATACATTCCACTTGATGACTACAGTACCTGTCAAGAGTACGAGAATTTCCTTATGCCTCTATAATTGACTTCAACCAATGTCTTTTTGTCCTACTTGCTCTCAGTTTATAGAGAGACTCTTTGTTCAGCTTATCTATTCCCCTCACTATTTTGTATGTAAAGATTTTCTCTCATCTGCTCCTTTTCTTCTTTAGGGCTTAGAACGTGAGTTCCTTTAACCCTCATAGATTACCCAACCACTTGGGGTGGACGGTAGAGTGACAGTCTCGCTTCATGCAGGTCGGCATTCAATCCCCAACCATCCAAGTGGTTGGGCACCATTCCTTCACCCCATCCCATCCCAAATCCTTATCCTGACCCCTTCCAAGGGCAATATAGTTGAAATGGCTTGGCATTTTTCCCTGATAATTCTCTTCCCTTTCTTTCATAGTTTAACACTCTTACTTGTGATACCAATCTAGTTGTATACTTCTGTATTTTATCAAGTTGTTTGTTCTTCACAATGTGGATTACAGCAACATAGTGACAGAGACTATGTACATGGTTTTCTTGTTTATGTTATGTTTCTATTTGTGTACCTTTAGTAAGGTAATTATATTCATTCCTAAGCATTTCATCATTCCATTTCTTGCGGTTGCCTTTCCTTTATTCTTTATTACTACTTCATTTATTCTTTATTATTAGTTTATTATTTTCTGGTCTCCTATATCCTTCCCAAATGCATAGCATGCATTGCATAAACTTATTTGGCAGTTTGTCCACATGTGGTGTTTCTCAAGATCTTCCTGCAACACACTACAATCCTCCTCAGTTCCTACTCCTTTTCATTAGGTGAGTTAAAGCATTTGCAAACATTGACATGCATGAACTCACTCCCTCGTGTAAGTTTTCTTCATATACAGTGGTACCTCGGAATACGAGTGTCCCTGTAAACGAGTTTTTCGGAATACGAGCAGGATTTGCTTGGAAAATTTGCCTCGGAAGGCGAGGGTTGCCTCGGAAGATGAGGGTGTCGATACGCGTACAGGCCGACTAGCGTGTGGTGGCACGGCGATCGAGCCTCAGTTTACCAGTGCCTCACGCCCAGTGACTATCCCGCCTGAATACAGTACTTCACAAGGATTTACAGTTTTTTGTCGTTTTTTTTGCCATTTGAGCATAAAAGTTATTATATATCTCGCCATGGGTCTCAAGAAAGCCAGTGGTAAGGTTCAACCTAAGAAAATAGCTGTGAGTAGAGGCAGTAGAGGATGTTCCTTCTTCATTAAGAAAATGTGTGAAGTATGGGAAGAACTGCAAAGTTTTGTTGAAAAAACTCACCCAGATAAAGCTGTAGCAGGCCATTGCATTGACCTTTTAAATGACAATGTGATGTCTTACTACAGACAAGTGTTAAAATGTAGGGAAAAACAAGTGTCATTAGACAGATTCTTAGTAAGACAAGCAAGTCCTAGTGGTATGCAAGCAAAACATGCCAGAGAGTGCACACCAGTGAAGTCCTCACTGCCTGATGTTATAATGGAAGGGGACTCCCCTTCCAAACAGTAACACCTCTCCTCCTCCCTCCCTCCTCACCATCTTCCATATGCCAACAGCAGTCATCAGCAAGGGTAAGTAATAACTTAGTTTTGTAGGTTTATTTAGATGAATTAGGTATAAAATTTAGTTTGAAGTGAGGTTTTTGGGTAGTCAGGAATGGATAATTCATTTCCCATTATTTTTTATGGGGAAATTAACTTCGGATTATGAGTTTTCGGAATACGAGCTGTTTCCAGGAATGGATTAAACTCTCAAACCAAGGCACCACTGTATTAGGAACAGCAATGGATCTAGGACAGAGCCCTATAAAATTCTGCTTTCTGCTCGTCTTCAGCTTGATATCCTCTCTGACTATGAACCTGTTTCTTATCCAATAAGCACTTATGCAGTTCAGTGTCTTTCCAGTTAGCCATTTGTAAGGAACAGAATTCAATAGCTGTTTGACAGTCAAGGAAAATGCAGTCTACCCAGCCTTTTTTGTGATTTTGATTTATACATATTGGTAATTTTGCCATAGGACAAATTTTGTTTACCAATTTGAAATCTGTTGAAACCAACATGACTTCTTTTCTCTGAATCTGTGCTGTCCAATCACAAAGCATATTCTCTCAAAGTACATCATTGTTCTCTTCCTGGTAACTCTTTCCATCATTTTGTATGGGCTAAATGGTTAGTGACAGTGATAAAGAAAGAATGTTTCTTCTGATTTACATAAAAAATCCAAATGTTGTATATCTTGTTAATTTCTTTTCTCCTTATGTCCTTCCATTTATTCTCTCCATATTCTTATTCCACTCCCTCTAACATTCATTCCCCCTCCATTTCTTCATCTTTCCTTTTTTTTTCCATCTCTCCAGCTTCCTTATTTACTACTTGATTCTTTACCTCATCTCCTAAAATACTATCAATACAGTCCTGTATTTTCTCACTCCTTGTTTTCTTGCTTGCTTTAGGATAGCATTTCCTCTCAGGTGGTTTGATGAATAGGTGGTCATGATACGATGTTTGAAATCTTTTTAAAATTATAATAATTCCCATTGTTGGAGGCATGAAGCCTGTTTCTAGACTTATCGAGGTCACCATAGGTCTAATACTGACCTTCCTCTGGGATGCAACTCGAGTTGTCTTACTTGCAAGTACCTATTTAGTGCTAGGTGAACAGAGGCATTGGATGAAAGGGACGTGCCTAACCATTTCTGTCCTACCCAAAGATGAGACACAGGATCTTGAATTCAGTTGAAGACATAGACCTCTATAAGCAACACAAACAGCCAGGGGATACAGCTGCACAAGGAGGAAACAGTCTATAGTTCTCTTTGGTCCCATGTGGAGATACCATGGCTTTACACTGTATAATACAGTAACACCAAGTACTGTACTGTATATGCAAGCTAAATTTTTGAGTCGGAAAATGAAAACTCGTCAAAAACATGCTGTATAAGGATGGCTCTGTAAGGCTCTGTCTGACCTATAAGAAACAACAAGACAAATATTAAACAAATAATAGCCATTGGGTCTCACTATCTAATAATATACAGTATATAAAAAGAAAATGAACTGTAGTTTTATGACCAAGCATAAAAGAAAGAGAAGGTGAAATGAGGGGGAAGGGAACATATAGCTTTCCTTAAATATTACTGCTGAATAAATACAAGGCAAATTAACTCACCTTTACCGATGTGTCTTCTCGTATTTTCAATGGTAGAGTTACGATTAACATTTGAGAGCAAACCTAGGCAAAATCTCTCCGAGTTGTTGCTTGGATCTGTGAAGCCATCAACGATGACTGAATGGGTTTGTGCATGAAACACCTCTCCTACTCTGTTATTCAACTCATAGTAAGCTATAGTCGACCAAAAAGTCGGTTCCTGAAATGTACACAATCATTATTTTCATTATTTTGTAAATAAAAACAAAAATTTCTAAATATTAGACACAGAAAACTGTATTAAGGGTGATCCAGGATGCTGGCTCAATTCCACTGTTTAGCTCCAAAGATTTTATAATTGATATATCACACTGGGGGTTTCATTGTGTACTAACCATCACCAATTGAATTTACAACTTTAGTAATACTAAATCTATAAGATTTCTACCTCACCCACATGGTCCATGGGTGACCACAAAGACCTGTTGCTTTATGGACACCCATGGACGATCTTTGATCTTTGGGACACCCATATATCAAACATGCCCTAACTTCAAAAAATTAATGAAACCTTTCCAGACAGGTGGACTGTACATTATCCATCACTTTGCCTGCCCCACTGACATGATCTCTACGACCTCTGACAAATCCCGACCTCTACTTGTGACTACTACTTGTAGGGCCTCCTCATGGGCTAAGTGTATGACTATTTGTGAGCTTAATAACATTGTCAGGGATTAATTTTGTTGTATCTCCTGAAATGTCTCACAATTTGGCACAAATTCCTTCCTCATTTATGAGAATCAAAGTGAACAGACAGACCCAGTATTGTGTGTGTGTAATTACCCAAGTGTAGTTACAGGATGAGAGCTATGTTCGTGGTGTCCCGTCTTCCCAGCACTGTCATATAACTCTTTGAAACTACTGACGGTTTTGGCCTCCACCACCTTCTCACCTAATTTGTTACAACCGTCTACCACTGTCTGTCTGTCTGTCTGTCTGTGTATGTACTCACCTATTTGTGCTTGATGCACAAATAGTGCTTGGAATCATAGTGCCTGTGGCATAGTGGTAGCACACCCACTGTGCTATCTACTTAATTCATTCTAATACTGATGAAGAGTGAGCCATGCTCACTCTTGGAACATTACACTGGGAAGGGAGGGAAAGGGATGCAGGAACTAGAGCCCCCTAATTCCAAGCACATTTCACACTCGTGAATCTTCCTCACAAGCAGCAGGCACACTCTTAAGCCTGCTTCCATTCGTATTTCTTGTATTTTTCACCTACTGTACCTTGGTTTACCCCTTTTAACTTCCTTGCAATACAACCTTTTGTTTTTCATAGCCTTTACGCAATGTGTTTCTTGAAATCTTTATCTGTTCTCTTACTTAACTTTATAAAGCTTTTTTATTCATATTACACACTGTATACCATACTCAACGTTTATATTACTCTTGTAGACTTTTGTATATGCAGCTTTTATTATTCATTATTATCTCCATTTCTTCAATCCACAAAATTTAAATGAATTGTGTTACGAGTGAAGAATTACTACTACGTACATATACCATCACCACCAATTTGGCGAACACACAAGAATTGTCTAAATTCAGCATTATTCACCTCATTACTCTGGCAACTTCAACTTTTGTCCTAATTACCAAGCCTTAAAACTAAATGCAAATTTGTTTTCTTACTGTAGTACAGAATAAAAACATCTTCACAGTGCATAACCATTGTAAACTAACAAGTTAAAATGACAACAATGGAAGATAACTCGACAAATAATACATTATACTGTACACAGAGAAATCACAGTAACGTGATCAATGAGAAAATTCACAGGAGCGGTGATGAGGGTTAAGTCGTGGCCTAGTTGTCTCGAGCGTGCTTGTGTCTGGGAATACCCAGCACGTAGGTTCAAACTCTCATCACAGGTCCTGTGGATTTTCTACATTATACTGCAATACACAAAAATATATAATATCACAGTGCAGTACAGTACTGTGCATATTTCTGTGTGATTAGACACCCAACCCACACATTTGAAGAAAAAAAAAAAACAGGAAGTGGCAAACTTTTGGTCCAGCTTAGATCAACATGTCCTCACTTACTTACTTACTTACTTACTTTTATTTTTCAGATGTGTGGGTTGGGTGTCTAGTCACACAGAAATATTCACAGTAGTGTAATATGATACAAACAGCAGAGTGAATTACCTGGTAGTTAACAGGAGTAACGTTTGGATTAATAATAGTGCCAACAGAAACAGTTTCCATGGCTGTATCTGCGTTCTGGGTCTGTTTTATGTCTTCACTTGGGGGAGTATATATCGGCGGCGGAGTATCTGCTTTGGGAGGCAAAACAAAGACAAAAATATAGTTAATGCAGAAACAATACCTGGCATTAACATTTGAAAAAAAGAAATGCCTAATTAATTAAGTCATTAATGTACTGATCAAGCAAACATTCTCCAATACAGAAGATTAGAAGGTGTACATTTAATCATTTTGTGTGCATTTATGTGAATGACCTCAACGAGCACCAGTGTCAACAGCAACCCTCAAGCCCGAGGGCTCTGCTCACTTTCTTCTACAAGGAAATGTCTCATCCCTATTCCTTACAACAATATCCATTTTGCAACCTAATGTTTCTTCTACATACAGTACAATGAATTAACTATACGGTATTGTATGTAATTAAACCGAGACAATGATTTTCATCTCTCTGGTATTAAAAAACTTAAGTGATCAATTATATTCTATCCATTCTGTTATTATATAATGTACACAAATGTGTAAGTGGCATGTCTTTCTGGCCATGAAATGCTTGAATTATTACTCTTAACACAACAAAAATATTTAGATTTCTCTCAAATATTCCCCCAGGCATTCCATATGCTGCTTCTGCACATCCTTTTCCCATGGGGGTGGTCTGCCATTCTCCTCCATCTGGACTGCATGTTAATAGTTCATTGCCTATGCAAAGAAGGTTCCAGTTGCTTCCTTCACATGGGGAGGGACTCTCGAGATTAATAATACTGTTAATCTATTACTGCCTCTCAAGTTTGAATAGCAGTCTCCTGTGCAGTACTGTATCAAAGGCTTTTTGGCAGTCCAGAAATATGCAGTCTGCCCATCCTTTCCCATCCTGCCTTACTGTAACTTTATTATAGAATTCCAGAAGGTTTGTTAGGCATGATTTCTCTTCCCTGAACCCATGTTGGTGTTCATTTACAAATCTGATGTTCTCTACGTGTGTAACCAGTTTTAACCTGATTATTCTTTCAAGTACTTTACATGGAATGCTTGTCAGTGATACAGGTCTGTAGTTAAGTACGTAAGTATGTGCCTTTTCCCTATCTCCTTTCTTGAAAATTGTACCACATTTGCCTCCTTCCAACAACTAGGCAACTCTCCCTTCATAAGTGACTCATTAAAGATTCATTAAGATAAAGACTTATTAAAGATTCTTGCCAGAGGCACACTGAGGACCTGAGCTGCCTCTTTTAGTATCCAGGGTGAAACGTTGTCTGGTCCAACTGCTTTAGTTTCATCTAGTGCTGTCAGCTGTTTCATTACCTTCTCTGCTGTCACGTCTATATCCGATAGTCACCTCTATACTGTATCTGATAGTCTCATCTAGGATAATCTCGTCTTATAACAAAGGGAGCTGCTAAGGCTCATTTGTGAATACTCCATGGGAACTGGCATTCAGTACCTCACACATTTCCTTGTCACTTTCCGTATATGTCCCTTCAGTTTTCCAGCGTCTTGTCACTTGGTCATTCACCGACATTTTCCTTCTTAAATGACTATGTAGTAGTTTAGGTTGCATTTTCGCTTTGATCACAATATCATTCGAAAGAGAGAGTATGAGTGTGAGAGAGCGAGTGTGAGAGAGTGTGAGAGTGTGAGTGTGAGAGTATGAGTGTGAGAGTATGAGTGTGAGAGTATGAGTGTGAGAGTGTGAGTGTGAGAGTGTGAGTGTGAGAGAGTGAGTGTGAGTGTGAGAGAGTGAGTGTGAGAGAGTGTGTGTGAGTGTGAGAGTGTGTGTGTGGGGGGGAGAATGTGATGTAGATATCAGCAATTTTTTTTGGCATGATTGCTTGGTTAATATGCGAGTAACGTGTGTGAGAGTGTTTTCTACATCAGGCCATGAATGAATATATTGTTGGAGTGCTGTAAATATTGGCAAGGGTGTGTGTGTGGAAAGCACTGTAATTCAGACACATGGGTAGTTTGCGTGATGAAGTATTCTACATCAAAATATGGGTGATTGTGTTCAGTCAAGACACAAAGATGCAACCTCGAAAGAAATTAAGCAACGATTCAGTAGTTTTACAATGATGTGGGGAAACCATATATGGTATCTTGCACGTTTCCTGTTCTAATTACCGAATATACAGTATTTCAATAAAGGTTCTAATTATAATAGGTGACTTTTGTAATAAGTCACTACTGTATGAATGAACGAGTCTTTCATACTTCAGTTCAACATTTTATGTATACATATCTTTCACTAATAATCACCAAAAAATGCTATTATGTGTGATACAACATATTAATTCTTGACAGCAAATTACTGTGCTGTAAGTGGTGGATTAGACATCTTGCAGGATATCTAAACAAATAAAGAGGGTGGAACTGACCCGGGATGCTGCCATAAGGACTGTGTGGGCTCTGGCTTGCAGGACTGACCACCGGAGAAGGAGGCTGGTTCAGGCCACTTAAGCTCCCGCCACCTGGAAATGATCATAATCTTAAATGCCATACCAAGAGCAATTTAATCCAGACATGATCTTTAGACCACAATGTACATTTACCACTTTTCACTTTTTAATATGTAAATAAAAATATCTGCTATAAAATATCTGGAACATAATGACTAATATTTTATGTAGTAAAGTTTGAATAAAATAATACACAATATACAAGGGGGTGGTAAGAGAAGACAATGTATGCAAGCGCACATGGGAGTCCCACAAGGCTTCCCTGGATGCAACATATCCTCTTCCTAGAGGCCGAGGGATCCTACAAACACAACCATAGGTACCCTCCTTTCCTTTATATAATGACTAATGCTGTATGTTTAAATACTGCCTGGTGGAACTATTTGTGGCATGATGAAAAAATTAAGTGTTGCATAATTCTCCTTACAGTATTTAAATATGGTAGAGGATTTTTTTTTTTTTAAGCAACATACTGTATTGTTTACAATCTATAATTTTGAATGTGGTAAAATAGTTCAGGGTTAGGATGTCAGTTCCCTACTTTCCTGACTATATATTTAAAACTTATCAAAACAAAATTTAAGTGTACTCACTTGTGATACTGCCATATGGACTGTGTGGACTCTGGCTAGTGGGGCTGACTACACTCCCAACAGGTGACGGAGGTTGGTTTATACCAGTCATACTCCCACCTCCAATTTGTGAATGTGACGTTCCACCTACTGATGAGTGGACAAAGCCATTTTGGGAGAAGGAGACATTGTTGGGCATGGGCTCTGGCAGTTGCTGTTGGAACGTCAGGAGAGAGTGCCCTGGAGCAAATTCAGAATGCCGAGGAACTAACACGGGTGGCAAAACTGTGGAAAATAAGAAAAAATTATTAGAAATTAAATTAACAAAAATACTGTATATAGCTGGTCTAGCTGCAGTCAACACACAGTTTTATGAGGGAATGCATTCCTCAACAACTCGCAGAAATTTCAACCTCATTTGAATTGTTAAGGATCACATGGGGTAAAATAGGATGCATTACAATTAACAAGACAAGTTTATTAATGTATATGTATACAGTATTGTAATATACTAGATAGGGTATCCAGCACTGTCCGAGTTGACCTTGAAAAGTTTGAGCCATTTAAGTGTTGGGAGCCCAGGTTGACCTAGTGACCAGGGAAGCTCATCTCAACCTGCTTATGACAGATCTTGCTCTAATATATACAGTACAGTATATTCAAAGTCTACTAAAAATTATGAAACACGCTAATTTCATCTTTAAACTTCAGTGACTCTACCAGGTACTACCTCCTATCTATAATGATCCAACTCCCCATTAATGGGAGCAATGGGCCTGAACCCACCCAGCCTATGATGTACATTACCTCCAACCAGTCACCTTGCAAAGTTGGGCAAGGTTACACCCCCCCCCCCCCTCCCTCCCACAAGCATCTGGCCTCCAACCTTGTACATAAACAGATATTTCCTCTTATAGATATATGTAGGAAAAATGAGTAAATTTTACTGTACTGTTCTGAAAACATTATGTTTTATTAACACCACTTTATACCAACGTAATGCTCTTCTATAATTCATAAAGTTTAATACCTGTACAATAATTCAAACAGTAGAACACAGGTAAGATGGGGACTGTAATGTATTTTTGGGTTGAACCTTTAGAGGGAATTCATCGTTGATGCATTTTAAGAACATTATATTCTTGGTACTGATGACTCGTCCCCATGCAAATTCATACATGCCCCAAAATTGACCACATTAAGTAAAGAACTCAACTCCTACCCCACACAGGTTGTCAGTGTAAAATATGGCTACATAAACTGAAAATTAACTGTGTACAGTAATTAATAAAAAAGAATTGTCTACGTGTAATTTTCAACTCTGTTCAACCAAATGACTGGATTAATTAAAACAAAGTGCTAATGACATGTCAGGCGTGACTAATGGTTATATACTTGAGGCATGTATTGTATGTAGGCATGTATGAGACATGTTCTATAATGCTACACTTACAAGACTATCTACACACAATTTAAGAACCCTTTATCTTTCAGCTCAAGTAAGGTCTTCTTTACTTCCCAAACCCCCTAACCCCCACCCACACCCCCATAACACCCACCCACACCCCCATAACACCCACCCACACCACCCAATACCCATCCACTCCCCTCGTAACACCCACCAACACCCCCCATAACATCCCTCAACACCTACCCACACCCCCATAACACCCACCCACACCCTCATAACACCCACCCACACCAACTAACACCCACCCACGCCCCCATAACACCCACCCACATCTATTTGTAGCTTCAGGTGGGGAGCTGTAACTAGATATTTGTGGATTGCAGCTGAAGAAGAAAGACATCCCCAGTTCCCAATGCCCGACACCTCTCTTAATACAAACAATAGTATATAAATAATCTTAAGACAACAAATCCTATCGATCAATTCATTCATTCATGATTCTTCCCTTCCCCCCCTCCCTCCCTCCCTTTCCCTCTTCCCCCATCTCTCTCCCTCCCTCCTTCCCTCTGTCTGTCTCTCTCCCTCTCTCTCTGACTACCCAGAGAGAGATTTTCATATGAATTTGAAGGATAACAATAACCTTAAATCTCGTTTTGTGCTTTCAACTAAAACATGAAAAAACGTCAAAATGTTATCAAATTACTGTACACGGTTTTCATGGTATGTTGAGTGGAAAGTATGGTCGGGGGAGTGGGTGGGGGGGGCGGTGGGTGGAGTAGGAGGGTACGGCAGGTGGAGTGGGGGGGGGGTTGGAGGTATGTATCTTCATAAGGCCATACATAGGGCGTATGTATCACGCCTTCCAAAAACACCATAGTTATAATAAATCTGGGCTAGTACGTCTTTACTAAAATGAAATGAGTCTAAAGATGGCTTCGCCCGAGGATTCATACTGGAGCATATCTGGAGAGAGCTTCAGGAGCTCTTCTCTCCGAGAGTCTGAGCCCGGCTTGTGATAACTTGGTCCAACAAGTTGTTGCTTGGAGCGGTCCGCAAGCTCACATGTCTACTACAATCTGGTTGATCCGGCACTTCTTGCAAGAGCTTGTGTGCATCTTGAAGACAGCCACCTTTGTTCCGGCAATATTTCTAATGCTTGCTAGGGGGGGGGGGGTTGAACAGTCGTGGACCCCTGATGTTCAAACAGTGCTCTCTGATTCTGCCTATGGCACCTCTACTCTTCACTGGCTCTATTTTGCATGTCCTTGCATATATTTTGCTCCAGTATGTGGTTATTCTACTATTATTCTACTTAAAGCAAATCTGTCTCATCCGCAAGAGACTGTTCATTGTGACTGTTCATTCAGACTGCTTCCTGGAATTCTCTGTTATAACAGTACTTGCCACATTTTACCGTTTTAGATGTTGACATCACCAAGCAAGATGATGGTTGAGGCAGGGCTAGAGAGATTTTTTTAAGCAGTATTCTATTTTCATAAGTTGGTCTTTAAACTGCTGAGGATTTGCATCTGGTAATTTATTTACAAGGACAATCACCACATTTTTAATTTATATGTTGGTAATCAGCAGTTCCACCATATTGTTTGTGGTGTTTAGCAGTATGTTGCAGACGACTCACTCACTCACTCACTCTCTCACTCTCTCTATCACACACACACACACACACACACACACAGAGTGGTAGACGGTTGGAACAAGTTAAGTGAGAAGGTGGTGGAGGCCAAGACCGTCAGTAGTTTCAAAGCGTTATATGACAAAGAGTGCTGGGAAGACGGGACACCACGAGCGTAGCTCTCATCCTGTAACTACACTTAGGTAATTACACACACACACACACACACACACACACACACACACACACACACACACACACACACACACACACACACACACACACACACACACACACACACACACACACACACACACACACACACACACACACACACACACACACACGTACGTACGTACGGGAAGACAGGAACATGACGAGCATCGTTCTCATCCTCTAACTACACTTAAGTCATTACACGAGTGGTGGCGAAGACTGACCTGGACTCTCAACCCGCTTGTAGTGATACGGGTTGATGCACACTTCCTTTTGTTTGGCTGAGAATGGGTACTGGCAGTGCTCGAGGGGCTTGAGCTCGTGGTGGCTCTGTAGGTCTGGCCACCGCCACACCCTGCAGTAGATCACATGTGGCAACCCCTTACGGTGGGACACCTGAAAACAAAACAACAAAATAACTACACATTCTTCGACCCAAGACATAGCTCCTAATCAAACTCGCAATTTACAGATATCAGAACCAGAAACGTATTACAAACTTGTATAACGAACAAATCATTACAATAATCGCTAGACTAAATAGGTCTATATCAGTTAAAATGGAACTAAGAATGGTCCAGGACGGACCGAAACGTCGTCGTCCCTTCAACTTCTAGTGTGTGGTCTGGTCAACATACTTCAGCCACGTTATTGTGACTCGTCGCCTGCAAAATGAAACTAACATTTTTTGGGGGCATAGATTGAGTAAAATTTAATATCTCCTCACGTGCTGGAGAGTTCGTTCTTACATAAGCGTCATTTTTACTAAAATATTGACATTAGCCTAGTCTAGAATGTCCAATGTTGATTAATATATTCCTTTACCCAGTGGCAACTGTAAACCTACAAAGCACCGACTACATTACATTACATTACATTACTCGAGTACGTACTTGCAGTACGTACACTGAGAGATAACTATCAACACCTAAGACCCAAGACGTTTCCACACTCCCGCTACACATAACCTGACCACCAATCAGGAGGCCTGGTCAGAAACCGGCCTGTGGGGGACATTGATCCTCGGAATCAACGCAAGGTAAAGTAACCCCACTTGTTGAAGACTCCGAGGATTAGTATCCCCGCGGCCCGGTCTCTGACCAGGCCTCCCGTTTGCTAATTTGTTATTTTTTGTCTCGTTGAACTGGAAATAAAGAGTGATTAGTATCAAATTTCCAGTTTTATGGAAAACAATGAACTTCACAACCCAGGACAATATGGATATAGAGCGGGAAGATCTTCTCTGTCACAGTTACTCAACCACTATGACAAAATCACAGACGCTTTAGAAGAAAAACAAAATGTAGATGTTCAAATGTGACCAAGGAGTGATAGCCCATAAACTGAGGTCAATAGGAATAACTGGTAAAGTGGGGCGTTGGATTTTCAGCCGTCAAACAGAATGCAAAGAGTAACAGTCAATCAAAGAAGATAAAGTCCAAGTGCAGTGAAAGGCTCTGTACCCCAGGGCACAGTACTTGCACCGCTGTTATCTCTCATTCTTATGTCGGATATAGACAAAAATAATAGTCACAGCTTAGAGTCATCCTTTGCAGATGATACACAAATCAGTATGATAGTTTCCTCTGTAGAAGAAACTGAAAACTACAAGCCGATATAAATAGCCATCGATTGGGCAACGGAAAATAACATGTTTAGCAGTGATAAGTTCCAGGTACTTAGGTACAGTGGAAACGATGAATTTGTCTCACGTGGCGCAGTGGTAAGACATTCACCCAGCTGGATTGGATTATGAAGACGTTCAAATCCAGAGACAACACAGCAATGCTAATACTATTTAAGTGTACATACTCTAACAGTTACTAAACCCAGTTAACATCCTTAACATGCTAAACATAATCTCACTCCACAAATTTTCTTGTGTCAATTACATTTACAAAACCCTGTTCTTAAACGCAAATCCTGCTCTGAAACTCTCCCTGGACAGATGTAATAGGACCCATTATCACCACACCAGAAATAAATATCTCTGATGTCCCCAGAGTCAAACTCAATCTGTGTAAACACTATGCAAATAAAGGGACCCAGTCTATAGAACTCACTTCCTAATGAATTGAAAAGCTGTCCAACTTTTGCGTCATTCAAAAACAAAACTAAAAAGTACCTAATCTCATTTGCATAGTTTATGTTTACCTTGTTGCTTTAAAATTGCACTGTATCTATTGCTACCCAATCTCCCTATCTTTATGTACCCAATCCGAACATCTTTACCATTGTGATCATTGCTGTCTTCTTATATGTGCTATCAATCTGCTGTACGGTGTCTGTTAATCTTGTTTAAATTACCAATCAAGTTCAATGTCATCAACCAGAGCTTTAATATACCAATATGCTTTAATATACATACTATTCTCTCTCATCTCATTTTTTTCTTGCAATGTATCTGTTATCATTTTATTAATTCTGCTAGAATTTACCTTCTTAAAATTATCTGTTAGATTAAGGACCTGCCCGAAACGCTGTGCGTACTAGTGGCTTTACAAGATTGTAAATACTATGCTATGTATTCTCACAAACCCAATGTACCTTCTTGTATATAAATAAATAAATAGTTATAATATTCGTTAACATTTAAAAATTTATTATTAGTAGTAATAATTAATTATTATTATTATTATAATACAGTTGGTGAGAGGAGGAAGAAAGTGTGTGTTGGGTGGACATTGAGGAGTGTGGGAGCAGTGGTGGACAGGGCTGCCACAGTCGCCCTCAACACCCCAACAATAACATCCTCCCCCCAGCAAACGGCCCTCAACACGAGCGTGAGAACAACGGCAGTTGTGTTGTGTGTGTGTGCAGGCAAGCAGGAAACGCCAACAACCTGAGGTGGTCTATTACCAACAGGAAGATAAGAGGGGTTTCTGAAGGCAGGTCAGTAGGTAGGATTGCAACTCAGCAGCCACCAGCACACCCTCCCCTCCCCCCTCCCCCTACCACACCAGCTTACTCAGCCAGGGATCGATCCCATCCTCACACCAGGAAAACACAACCAAAATTCTAGCCAAGAGAGTAACACGGAGAGACTGAATGTCAACACCCCCCCCCCTCCCCACCACCACCCAAAATGAAAAAGGGAACAGTTTGTTCAAGTATGTTTATTGAGACAAGAAACTAATTGCAGTCTCCGTGGTGTAGTGGTAAGACACTCGCCTGGCGTTCCGCGAGCGCTATGTCATGGGTTCGTATCCTGGCCGGGGAGGATTTACTGGGCGCAATTCCTTAACTGTAGCCTCTGTTTAACGCAACAGTAAAATGTGTACTTGGATGAAAAAACGATTCTTCGCGGCAGGGATCGTATTCCAGGGACCTGCCCGAAACGCTACGCGTACTAGTGGCTGTACAAGAATGTAACAACTCTTGTATATATCTCAAAAAAAAAAAAAAAAAAAAATACATCTCAAAGGGATAGAGTAGCTTAGGCTATTTCTACCATTTCATACCACTACCCGTTTCTATTTAAACCGTTTGTTTACCGTACCTAAACTATATGAAGCGTTACACACTGTCAAGAGCTAAAACTGTACACGAGACAACAATTCCCTTCACGCACACTGTAACTGATACAGGTTTGTTGGTAAATAAATGATTATTCGCCATACAGAGGGCATATTTATGGGGCCCTGTAGCACAGTGGCTACGTGTTCCCCGGTACCATCTCCGGGCGGGGATGGTCGAGCACGTATTTACTCTACAACTTTAACATTTTAGAATCCAGATTTCAGAGTCCATAGATTCTCCTGTTTGGATTTATGCGAATGCTCCAAATATATTGAATTTGACTATTAAGAGGCCATTTATGAACATAAATCTCGAGTTTGACTTTTGGCCTTACATGTTTGCTAATATAAAACACTCCACAGTATGTGTCGCTTCTGGCTGCTTGTGAGAGTGCCCTTCCATACCTCAGTTATGATCCAGGGTGTGTGTGGTAATTCTGGCAATGATTCGTCCAATTGTGGTAGTGGTGGTGGTGGTGTTGTGGTGTGATAGTTTGTGTTGTATTAGGGAGCGGCGTATAACCTTTGTGTATAACCTCCACTCATGTAACTGCTATGTCTACCTGCCCCCATCTCTTAACTATTTATTTATTTATTTATATACAAGAAGGTACGTTGGGGGGTTAACAGAAAAGATAGAAATTAAGTTGATTTTACATTCTTGTAAAGCACGCATAGCGTTTCGGGCAAGTCCTTTAAACTAACAGATAATTTTAGATAATTCACAGTCAAATTGACAAAAAATGTTTACAGGTACTTTACAGCTTTACTTTACAGATAATTTTAAGTAGAATAAGTAGAAATTCTACTGTCTTGTGTCTGCCCTCCACAAAACTTTTGACATATTATAATAGTTCTCCTCTCCAAAACACTGTTTCTCTTACATAGAAATCTGGACATTCAAGATCATAGTATTTCGTATATTTAACCGCGAGTTGGCATAGTTTAGGACAGAGAAATATGTTGGTGGCCGTAGACCCGTTCACCCAATGTAACTTCAGATGGGTGCCTCGGGGGGGGGGGGGGGGGGAGGTTGTAGCAATGCATTGCATGACTACAGCCTCATGGCTTGCATGATTTGCATCAAGTGTAACTTGCAGTTTGTATTGGTGCCTATTTTGTGTTTGGACAAAGCTGCCGTTACGTTGACCAGACCACACACTAGAAATTGAAGGGACGACGACGTTTCGGTCCGTCCTGGACCATTCTCGATTGTGTCGATTGTGATGAGGAGGTAGGGACAGGCAATAAATAGTCAAGAGAGAGCTGAGGAGGAAAGTCAGGTGGTTGAAGTCACATACTTCAGTCACGTTGTGACTCATCGCCTGCTGTCGTTACGTTTGCTGGCTGTTCCCTAATGTATTCACATGTGTTACCTGAACCTTTCCTTCATGTTCAGACAGTGATTCGAGAGTTTTGGTGGATCCGAGGTCCAGCTCACTATACCCTTCCGCCCACCCACGCCCCGGCTGCGCCCGAGTCAACAGGTGTCCTGTGTATAGCTGCCCCAGGCCGGGTCCAGCCGGGTCCACACCCGCCACATGTGCTGCCGGGTCCACACCCGCCACCCACACCTCCACACGGTACAACACACACCCATTCCAGTCACATTATGCCGGGTGGCCGACACTTAGCACTAGCAGAGGAGCCAACATGTCCCCGAGGTGTAAAGAGGGGAGAGGGGGGAGGGGGTCAAAGTAGGGGGGGGTCGTGGGAGTGCAGTGGGGGGGGGGGGGTGAAACATGAGACACATGGGGTGCCACACCGTGGGAACTGCTCTCGTTACACTTCATGTTTTGTACCCCACACACACACACACCCTCCCCCCCCCCCCACACACACACACTGCGTGCGAGTGTAAACAGTGTGTAACAGAAC